TTTTGCTGCAATGTGACATACAGAAGATGTTTTTACAATAATAACTTTAGCTTTACATGTTTTACACCACCCGGACTGTTTTTTTGCCAGAACTTGTCAAATACAAAATCTTTGGAGGTCCGGGGAGTTGAATATCGAATCCAATTTGTCTTAATTTGGTTTTCCTCCACCTATACTTTGCGATAAATATTAACGAAATTGATAAAATCAATTTCGTTAAATTATTAAAATTGGTTTTTTCTACTTTCATTTACTTTTTATAATTATTAACAAATTATGAAATAACTAAATTATCTCATTCGCTTCGTTGAACTACTGTGTTTGATGGGAAACATTTACCAATCAATGTGACACTGGATGATATTGTAACAATGCTCAAACTACTGCATTTATTGAAACATTCATCACCAATTGATGTTATATTTGATGGTATTGTAACACTGCTTAAACTACTACATCCACTGAAACAATAACCACCAATAGATCTCACAATTGGTGGTATGTTATTACCAAATTTATTTCTATCGTTTTGAGTGTAAGTAACATTTTTAAACTCGATGTTCCGACTTTTGTTTCTGTCAACAATTTCAAAATCAACATTGAACCACACAATGATTCGAAAAATTCTCTTTTTAAAACAATTTCATTTTCAATATCTTCATTTTCTTTTGTGTTCGTCATAAATCCATTGCCAAAATTCTCATCTCCTTCATCCCACAAGTGAAGTGTCTCGATGTTTGGAAAGTATCCAAGTGTTTTGGAATTTAACGGAATCGGGTTGAAGTGGAACTTCTCCATATTGCCACCAAACTTCTTGCATACCAACTCCAAGTTAATAAAGTCTATTATAGTCTTGAGGTACTTCGAGACTATCATGATGTGATAACCAGTAAGTCCACGCATTTTGATATTCATAGTTTTTCGGTCTTTAAATATTTAAAAATTCTTTTTGTAAACATTTTTAAGGAATTATTAAATTAAAGTCATTCAACATAACTAAACTCTTTTCAATAATTCGTCATTGCCCTCAATTAGAGATAAAAATGCAATTTTTACCTAAGATATTTAAATTTTATATATTTTTATTAGGTGTGGTTATATGAAAAATAATAATTCCTATGTTAAATTGAAACAAAAAAGTGTATGACCTTTTTAATATTTTGAAATTTATTTTATCTCCCTGTTATTTTTGCTTTTCCATAAAATCGTCATTATTTTTACTATTTTTAGAAACAAAGAAAAACAATTTTAACTTTAAAAAAATAAAACGATCATTTTACCTCTTCACTTTCATGTAAATTTATTTATAAAAATGCATTAAGTTAAAATCGATATTTTTTGTTTATTCAAATAAAGTCAAATGAATTTATTGTAAATATTAAGTAAATATGTTGATCATTAACAAATTTTGTCGAATTTAAAAGTTGTAAATCAAATAATTACAGATGATAAAATATACATTCGAAGAAGTGAAATATCTTGTTGCAGAAAAACAACCAGTTAACATTTTGTGTCTTCCTGATATCATGATGTGTCAGTTTGTAAATGAATATTTTTGGAGTGATGTACTTGAAAATTACATTGATCCTCAAACAATTTTTGACCTTGAAAAGTTGTATCATTCAACCCATTTTGAAGAGAAATGGGTTGATATAGATTTGATTATTGGAGGAACTTCAAAAAAATCAGAAATTAGATTTCCAATTGAAGATCAAATTGATTATCTTTATCAAAAGGTACAAATTCTTGAAAATCACATGAATGATTTTAGAAATAAAAGATGTGTAATATCTAATATTGATATAAGTCTGGACCCAACAAAGTCAAAAGAACAGAATATAAAATTGTGTATAGATAAAGGAATTACAAAACAATGTGATATTAAATATGTTTTTAATCATTTTAATATAAAAGTTCCAAGATATTCAAAACTTAAAAAAGCAATTGACAATTATCCTTATGTTATTGAACCAAAAAGAGGAAGACCAACGAAAATTGATAATAAAGTTATACAAAAAATACTAAAAAGAACTAGAAATAAACACAAAGAAACTTTGAGTAATGGAGTTAAATATTTAGAAAGGTATTACAAACAAAAAATAAGCAAAACTAGTTTGTGGAAAATAAAACATACACTTGGTTTCAGATATAAATCACCAAGAACAGTACAATTTTTAAACAAAAAAGATTACAAAGCCAGAAAAGAATTTGTCCAAAAAGAATTAAAATTGCTCGACAAAACTAAAAGCAAAATAATAAAAACTATTTTTAGTGATGAAGTTCGTGTATGTTGTCAAAATGACAATTTTAATAAATTGTGGTTGGAAAGAGGCAAAATTACAAATAACACCTGTGTATCAAAAACAAATTACCCTTTAGGAATCATGCTTTTTGGAGCCATAGGAATTAATTTTAAAAGTAAACTTGTCAAATTTAATGGAAAGATAAACTCTGAAAAATATTGCAAAATCCTGGTAAAAAGCAAAACCATCAAAGTGTTATCAAAGGGTAAAAAAAGATTCATGCAGGACAACGCAAGTGTGCACAAATCAAAATCCACTTTAGATTTTTTGAATAATAAAAACGTATCGCTAATCAAGAATTGGCCAGCTCGAAGTTGTGACTTAAATCCAATTGAGCACCTGTGGTCATATTTGAAAAGGAAAATAAGAATAGATAATACGTTTGATGAAAATGATCTTTTTCAAGCATGTAATGATGTTTGGAATAGAATACCTCAAAAAATAATTAACAAATATGTTGAAAGTTATAGCAAACGGTTGAGATTGTGCAAAAGAAAAAAATACAGAAGTATTGCAAGACTAATGACGAAAAGTAATCCAAATTATTTTTAATTGTTATCATATTTTTCACAAAATCGTAACTGAAAATAATGACGCTTTTATGAAACAAGTTTAACTATTAAGGAAATATCGTAAAATATACTATTCTTAAACAATAAATTTATAAATTAAATATAATAAATTATTTAAATTTTTAAAATTGTTTAGAAAAAAAACAATTCACACTGAATGATATTAATTGTGTTTGTTTTAAAACAATTCAATATAACTATTTACTTTACCAAAATATTATTAAAATGACAATTAATAAATTATTAAAATTCAATCAAAACCAGAGCAAATCTGTTTTATTACAAAGACCTGTGAAATACATGCACAAATCTACGTGATATTTAAAATAATAACAATAAATATACAATTTGTATGATAAATATAAACTTTGTTACAAAAACAAAAATTGCACTTTTTGACAATTAAAAATTATAACCAATTTCATCAATTACTCATGAAAATGGTTGATTATAATTAAAAATGATCAATTTTAAACTTCTTGAAAACTGTTGTTTTAACTTGTTTTGTATATAATAACTAAAATATGTGAAGTTGAGATTTCTCACAATAATTAAAATATTTAATATAATAAACTGTTGATTAATAGTTTTGTTGTTAGAAATGAGTTGCAAACTGATAGGACATATATCACTCTTCGAACAACAGTTCGAAGAATGATAAATAAAAGTTTTTACCATCATGCCAACCGTATGAATGTGATATTGAATTACTATTTACCATTAAGAACTCAACAAAAATATAAAGACCATGAAAATTAATTATTAACATAAATTTAAAACCAATACAAATAATAATATATGGTTTAGTTATCTATTAATTTTTCAACTTTATTTATGATTAAAATGAAAAAATTGAAGTTTTAAGACAAATTTAAAACAAAATACAACAATTATTACTAACTGTTATACATATAACACAAACAATAAACACTCAAACTGTATAACTTAATGATGGTATTAATAAACTTCAATACTTCTAAAACGCTCAATGTTTTAAAGCATATTTCTTAAAAAACAATCAACCAATAATTGCACAACCCAAACCCGTCAGTCCCTTGTGATTTGTTTCTTGACAATTAAATAAATAAATTAATTAAAATTTATTTATTGATAAATAAATAATATATGTAAAAATTTGAAAATATTAATAACTTTTAAACGCTTCTCTTGTAAAAATCAACTTTATTGCTTCTTATTGTATTTTGACATGTAGTCACTTCAATCAAAAATTGGTTATTACAAACAACTAAAAACGCATCTACAAAACCTGGACAATCTTACTTTTAAAATATCAGTTGAATTTGTTGTTACAATTTTATTTGTTGAATCTGTAACTTTGGCTGTTAGTCATTGACTTTTTTACCTCGTGTTTTATTGTTCTTTCTTTCCCAATTTTTTTTTTCTGTAAATCAGTCTTATGAGCGGTCAACAAGTTAACAAACTTCTCAACTTGTTTCTAATATTACCAAATACTATTTAGTTTACCATCACTTTTTGGAGTTTATATGCACGTTTTTCTTCTTGACTTTGGTTTGTTGGGTTGTGATTTTTTTCAAAACAAGTTGCTCATTCAATGACAAAACATTCAATTTAGTCACAAAAAACACCCCATCTTGATTGTTGAGCCTGGTGTTGGTAATACAGCAGCTGTTGTCGAATTTGGGCGCAGCGAATAGCAAAAGGGTTGTTCCTTCAAAATTGCATTGCAGAGTCATTGCACTTGATATGGGTGCATTGAATGCTGATTGCTGGTAACAATACATTATGATAATCAACTAAAGGTTGTTTCGAATGAGGTCAAAGAGTAGAAAATATAATTCATTCTTATTATAAATAAAATCACACTGTTTTGGGTGCCGGTGCTACAGTAGAGGGTGTGATGATTGTGAAGAACATACGACATCAATGTTGTCATCAAGTAAGTCGTGGTGCGTTCAAAAGACACCTAGAATTG